TATAACCTTCACCATATGAAATAGGAAGAAAAAAAAATCCATATGTAAATTTTTAGGAAATGGATCCTTTTATGTGTAATTTAACATGATCATGTCATGTGAGAGGATCTTAACCATTAATAATTAAATCAATAATGATGATTGTGTAACTTCATATCTTTATATTTTTTCTCTCTCATTCTTTATCATCATTCATTCTTCAATATATAATTATGATTGTTCCACATGACATGATCATGTAATTAGCACATGAAAAAAATTTAACTTCCAAATTTTTAAATGAAAATTGTATGTACAACTGCTGTACACAAAGTTCTCTCAACCCAATCATAAAGGCGCACGGAAAGTTGTCTCGACCCAAGCATAAAGGCGTCTCTGTTTGTTGTGGCTGTCATAAATAAAATTATGCTTAAAAAGGTTAAAATATAGGATTTTATGTTTATTACGTAACATAACACAATTTTACTTTTCAACACAAATTAAAGATGTGGGATTCACATGTTTTTTTTTCCAATCATTTCACTCTCTTTCTCTATTTTGTTACATGTGTTGAAAACAAAACTTAAGTTATGTAACATAACATTAATAAAACCCTAAAATATATTACAACAATTTCAAACATGTTTGGATGCAAAAAATACGGGTACTAGAAAAACATGAGGGGTTAGAATTTATATACAGCAATAATAAGTATATGATTGGGATCCCCATATTTAATATTTTTATCTTTTCTATGTAAACCTCTATAATATTATTTCAAGGTATGGGACTGAAAAATTATATTGTATCAACTAAACAAAATTAATTTTTTAAAATGATTTTTTGAAATATCATTCTCAAACAAAAATTATTTTTTAACGTCAACTCTTTCAACGTTAATATTTTTAATATCAATTTTATCAAAATCCAAATCAAAGTTTTAGATCATAAAATTTAAAACTCATTCTAGAATATATATTAACAAAGATACATTCATGAATAGTAGTACCAAAGAAAAAATCAATGTATATAGAAGCATAAGAAAAATAAGAAAAAAAAATCAAGGTCTCTCCTTTTGAGGTTTTCACCCTTAAATCATTTCCCCTTCCTTTTGTTATTTGCAGTTGGTTGAACAACTGGTTGATTTATAGAAGCCTTCGTTTATAATCCCGCTTTTTTACCTTAGGGTTTGGTGTTTGTCATTTAAAATAATATAAGTTATGTCATTTTAAGAGAGAGATAGACACAGAAAAACGGAAATCATGGGAGAGACAAAGTGAATGATTTTTTTTAATTTAAAATTCAAATTTTCTGTGTCTGTATCTCTCTTAAAATGACATAACTTTCTGTCATTTAAAATGAGAAACACTTTTTCCATAAAATAAAATAAAAAACCCACACAATTGAAGAAACCTGTTTTGTTTTCGTTTGAGTAGGGGAAAAGTTAAGTACCATTAAAAAAAAAAAGACATCTATATAAGACGTCATACATATTGTCCACAATCACAATTCACAAGTGTCCAACACATTTCACTTTGCAAGAATTAGAAAGAAACTTGAAGGAGAATCTTGTGCAACTATGCGTCCACCGTTGAAGAGGGTCAATTTCTGCAGAGGAGACAAGGTTGAGGTTTGCAGCAAAGAAGAAGGGTTTGAGGTTTGCGAAGCAAAGTTGACTAAAATAAAAAAATATATAAAAATAAAATACAAAAAATTAAATTTGAAAAATCATATCAGGATAAAATAGAGTAACAAAACAAGTAACAAAGTGTTGTACGAGCAGTCCACAACAATTCAAAAAAGCCACTTGCATGCAGAGAAATCTAAGATACGGAGCTACATAACAATTGGGCAACCTAAAAAAAAAAAAAAAAAAGGACTTGGCGGGCTAGCCCGCCCCGTGGCGGGTTGTCATTGTTCGCTACGAAGCCACCATTGTTTCCCACCTTGACAATGGCCTCTACGTTGTTCGCTACAAGAACCTTCTCGAGGACAACGAGTCTCAGCCTCTCACCGAAACCCTTTATCCCAAGGAGCTTCGTCCATTGCCACCTCGTGTCCACGCTTCTCAGTTTGCGCTCTATCAGAAAGTCGATGCTTTCGACAACGATGGTTGGTGGGTTGGTTCGATCACTGGCAGATCTGGTTCTCACTACTACGTGTACTTTTCTACCACAAACGAAGAGATAGCGTACCCTTCTTCTCATATCAGGGTTCATCATGAATGGGTTAACGGGAATTGGATTTTTTTGAATTAATTTCGCTGTTTTTGTGTGTTCTTGTTCCTTCAGTATCAATGCTGTAATGGGTTTTTTTTTTCTTTTTTTTTTCATTCATCTGTGGGTTTGGAAATTCCACATAGGTTTATGGGTCTGTAACTAATTTTGAGTAGTCCTTGTTATATGTAAATCCACAATGCAATAAATATCCTTTCATTCAAGAACAATAAATACAGCAAAGGCATTTTTCTTTGATTGTGGGTTGATTTATGGGTCTGTAATTAATTTTGAGTAGTCCTTGTTAACGGGAATTGGATTTTTGTTGTTGTTGCTATTTTGTTGTTTTTATTTCCCTTTTCTTTGATTGTGTTTCATAAAATAAATAAAGCAAAGGCATTTTTCTTTTTTCTTTTATAAAGGATATCTTTAGAAGCAATTTTCAGGGTTGTAAAAATAAAAAACATTTTATATTTAAGCAATTACACATTTGGTAAGAAGATTAGTTTGAATCATGATCTTTAGGAAAGCACAATGATAAAGGAGCCTGTTTGGTTTGTCGCTGCGTTGAATAGAATTCTGTTTGAGGGCGAAGATTGATTGCAACAATTTCGAACATGTTTGGTTGCACAAAATACTGGAAGAAAAACCGACTGTTAAGGGTTAGAATTGATTTTGAGTGAAATAATTTTTTTCCAAGAGTGAGACTCACATATTATATTTGTAATTCTACTTTATCAGTTATACAAAATTAATTTTTTAAAATATCATTCTAAAAACATAAATTTATTTTTAACATCAATCCTTTTTTCACGTTATTTTTTTAATTCCAATTTTATCAAAATCTAAATTGAAATTTAACATGATCATGTCATGTGAGAGGATCTTAACCATTAATAATTAAATCAACAATGATAATTGTGTAACTTTATATCTTTATATTTTTTCTTTCTCATTCTTTATCACCATTCATTCAATAATATATGATTATGATTATTACACATGACATGATCATGTAATTAGGACATGAAGAAAATTCCAAATTTTTAAATGAAAATTGTATGTACAACTGCTGTACACAAAGTTCTCTCGACCCAATCATAAAGGCGCACGGAAAGTTGTCTCGACCCAATCATAAAGGCGCCTCTGTTTGTTCTGGCTGCCATAAATAGAATTATGCTTAAAAAGGTTAAAATATAGGATTTTATGTTTATCATGTAACATAACACAATTTTATTTTTCTACATACACGTTAAAGATGTGGGGTTCACATGTTTTTTTTTCTCTTTCATCATTCCACTTCTTCTCTTCCTTTTGTTATGTGTGTTGAAAACAAAACTTAAGTTATGTAATATAACATTAATAAAACCCTAAAATGTATTACATCAATTTCTAACATGTTTGGATGCAAAAAATACGGGTACTAGAAAAACATGAGGGGTTAGAATTTATATACAGCAATAATAAGTATATGATTGGGATCCCCATATTTAATATTTTTATCTTTTCTATGTAAACCTCTATAATATTATTTCAAGGTATGGGACTGAAAAATTATATTGTATCAACTAAACAAAATTAATTTTTTAAAATGATTTTTTGAAATATCATTCTCAAACAAAAATTATTTTTTAACGTCAACTCTTTCAACGTTAATATTTTTAATATCAATTTTATCAAAATCCAAATCAAAGCTTTAGATCATAAAATTTAAAACTCATTCTAGAATATATATTAACAAAGATACATTCATGAATAGTAGTACCAAAGAAAAAATCAATGTATATAGAAGCATAAGAAAAATAAGAAAAAAAATCAAGGTCTCTCCTTTTGAGGTTTTCACCCTTAAATCATTTCCCCTTCCTTTTGTTATTTGCAGTTGGTTGAACAACTGGTTGATTTATAGAAGCCTTCGTTTATAATCCCGCTTTTTTACCTTAGGGTTTGGTGTTTGTCATTTAAAATAATATAAGTTATGTCATTTTAAGAGAGAGATAGACACAGAAAAACGGAAATCATGGGAGAGACAAAGTGAATGATTTTTTTTAATTTAAAATTCAAATTTTCTGTGTCTGTATCTCTCTTGAAATGACATAACTTTCTGTCATTTAAAATGACAAACACTTTTTCCATAAAATAAAATAAAAAACCCACACAATTGAAGAAACCTGTTTTGTTTTCGTTTGAGTAGGGGAAAAGTTAAGTACCATTAAAAAAAAAAGACATCTATATAAGACGTCATACATATTGTCCACAATCACAATTCACAAGTGTCCACAACATTTCACTTTGCAAGAATTAGAAAGAAACTTGAAGGAGAATCTTGTGCAACTATGCGTCCACCGTTGAAGAGGGTCAATTTCTGCAGAGGAGACAAGGTTGAGGTTTGCAGCAAAGAAGAAGGGTTTCTCGAAGCCACCATTGTTTTAGGGCTGGCAATATGGGCCAGCCCGCCCCGGCCCGCCACTAGCCCGAAGCCCATTTTGACAAAATGAGTTGAATTGAGTAACCGTTTTATGAATTGATACAAAAAATTAAATTCTGTATAAAATCACATAAAAAAATCTGCATAAAAGCATACAAAAATCTGTATAAAATCCTAATGTGCTTATGAAATCAAGAAGATCAGTGTTTAATACTGCATATAAATTGCATCTTTCAATCCAAAAATAATAATAAAAAAATAAAATCGCTAAAATAGAGTAACAAAACAAGAACACAACAATTTCTTGCATGCAGAGAAATCTAAGATACGGAGCTACATAAGGACAGGACGCTAGCCCGCCCCGTGGCGGGTTGACCCATATGGGCTGGCGGGTTTGGCGGGGCCGAAAAGCCACCATTGTTTCCCACCTTGACAATGGCCTCTACGTTGTTCGCTACAAGAACCTTCTCGAGGACAACGAGTCTCAGCCTCTCACCGAAACCCTTTATCCCAAGGAGCTTCGTCCATTGCCACCTCGTGTCCACGCTTCTCAGTTTGCGCTCTATCAGAAAGTCGATGCTTTCGACAACGATGGTTGGTGGGTTGGTTCGATCACTGGCAGATCTGGTTCTCACTACTACGTGTACTTTTCTACCACAAACGAAGAGATAGCGTACCCTTCTTCTCATATCAGGGTTCATCATGAATGGGTTAACGGGAATTGGATTTTTTTTACTTAATTTCGTTGTTTTTGTGTGTTCTTGTTCCTTCAGGATCAATGCTGTAATGGGTTTTTCTTTCTTTCTTTTCATTCATCTGTGGGTTTGGAAATTCCACATAGGTTTATGGGTCTGTAACTAATTTTGAGTAGTCCTTGTTATATGTAAATCCACAATGCAATAAATATCCTTTCATTCAAGAACAATAAATACAGCAAAGGCATTTTTCTTTGATTGTGGGTTGATTTATGGGTCTGTAATTAATTTTGAGTAGTCCTTGTTAACGGGAATTGGATTTTTTTGTTGTTGCTATTTTGTTGTTTTTATTTCCCTTTTCTTTGATTGTGTTTCATAAAATAAATAAAGCAAAGGCATTTTTCTTTTTTCTTTTATAAAGGATATCTTTAGAAGCAATTTTCAGGGTTGTAAAAATAAAAAACATTTTATATTTAAGCAATTACACATTTGGTAAGAAGATTAGTTTGAATCATGATCTTTAGGAAAGCACAATGATAAAGGAGCCTGTTTGGTTTGTCGCTGCGTTGAATAGAATTCTGTTTGAGGGCGAAGATTGATTGCAACAATTTCGAACATGTTTGGTTGCACAAAATACTGGAAGAAAAACCGACTGTTAAGGGTTAGAATTGATTTTGAGTGAAATAATTTTTTTCCAAGAGTGAGACTCGCATATTATATTTGTAATTCTACTTTATCAGTTATACAAAATTAATTTTTTAAAATATCATTCTAAAAACATAAATTTATTTTTAACATCAATCCTTTTTTCACGTTATTTTTTTAATTCCAATTTTATCAAAATCTAAATTGAAATTTAACATGATCATGTCATGTGAGAGGATCTTAACCATTAATAATTAAATCAACAATGATAATTGTGTAACTTTATATCTTTATATTTTTTCTTTCTCATTCTTTATCACCATTCATTCAATAATATATGATTATGATTATTACACATGACATGATCATGTAATTAGGACATGAAGAAAATTCCAAATTTTTAAATGAAAATTGTATGTACAACTGCTGTACACAAAGTTCTCTCGACCCAATCATAAAGGCGCACGGAAAGTTGTCTCGACCCAATCATAAAGGCGCCTCTGTTTGTTCTGGCTGCCATAAATAGAATTATGCTTAAAAAGGTTAAAATATAGGATTTTATGTTTATCATGTAACATAACACAATTTTATTTTTCTACATACACGTTAAAGATGTGGGGTTCACATGTTTTTTTTTTTCTCTTTCATCATTCCACTTCTTCTCTTCCTTTTGTTATGTGTGTTGAAAACAAAACTTAAGTTATGTAATATAACATTAATAAAACCCTAAAATGTATTACAACAATTTCAAACATGTTTGGATGCAAAAAATACGGGTACTAGAAAAACACGAGGGGTTAGAATTTATATATAGCAATAATAAGTATATGATTGGGATCCCCATATTTAAAATTTTTATCTTTTCTATGTAAACCTCTATAATATTATTTCAAGGTATGGGACTGAAAAATTATATTGTATCAACTAAACAAAATTAATTTTTTAAAATGATTTTTTGAAATATCATTCTCAAACAAAAATTATTTTTTAACGTCAACTCTTTCAACGTTAATATTTTTAATATCAATTTTATCAAAATCCAAATCAAAGCTTTAGATCATAAAATTTAAAACTCATTCTAGAATATATATTAACAAAGATACATTCATGAATATAAGTACCAAAGAAAAAATCAATGTATATAGAAGCATAAGAAAAAAAAGAAAAAAAATCAAGGTCTCTCCTTTTGAGGTTTTCACCCTTAAATCATTTCCCCTTCCTTTTGTTATTTGCAGTTGGTTGAACAACTGGTTGATTTATAGAAGCCTTTGTTTATAATCCCGCTTTTTTACCTTAGGGTTTGGTGTTTGTCATTTAAAATAATATAAGTTATGTCATTTTAAGAGAGAGATAGACACAGAAAAACGGAAATCATGGGAGAGACAAAGTGAATGATTTTTTTTAATTTAAAATTCAAATTTTCTGTGTCTGTATCTCTCTTGAAATGACATAACTTTCTGTCATTTAAAATGACAAACACTTTTTCCATAAAATAAAATAAAAAACCCACACAATTGAAGAAACCTGTTTTGTTTTCGTTTGAGTAGGGGAAAAGTTAAGTACCATTAAAAAAAAAAGACATCTATATAAGACGTCATACATATTGTCCACAATCACAATTCACAAGTGTCCACAACATTTCACTTTGCAAGAATTAGAAAGAAACTTGAAGGAGAATCTTGTGCAACTATGCGTCCACCGTTGAAGAGGGTCAATTTCTGCAGAGGAGACAAGGTTGAGGTTTGCAGCAAAGAAGAAGGGTTTCTCGGTTCCTATTACGAAGCCACCATTGTTTCTAGGGCTGGCAATATGGGCCAGCCCGCCCCGGCCCGCCACTAGCCCGCTCAAAATGGGCTGGCTCGCCTCGGCCCATTTTGACAAAATGAGTTGAATTGAGTAACCCGGCCCGTTTTATGAGTGGGTTGGCGGGCTACGGGCCAGCCCGCCTAAAATAAAAAAATATATAAAAATAAAATACAAAAAATTAAATTCTGTATAAAATCACATAAAAAAATTTGAATAAAAGCATACAAAAATCTGTATAAAATCCTAATGTGCTTATGAAATCAAGAAGATCAGTGTTTAATAATCTGCATATAAATATGCATCTTTCAATCCAAAAATAATAATAAAAAAATAAAATCATATCAGGATAAAAGAGTAACAAAACAAGTAACAAAGTGTTGTACGAGCAGTCCACAACAATTCAAAAAAGCCACTTGCATGCAGAGAAATCTAAGATACGGAGCTACATAACAATTGGGCAACCTAAAAAAAAAAAAAAAAGGACTTGGCGGGCTAGCCCGCCCCGTGGCGGGTTGACCCATATGGGCTGGCGGGTTTGGCGGGGCGGGTTTGGCGGGCTGGTGGGTTGAAAAACTCAACCCAGCCCGCCCCATTTGGCAGGCGAGGCGGGCCAGCCCGGCGGGCTCAGCCCATTTTGCCGGCCCTAATTGTTTCCCACCTTGACAATGGCCTCTACGTTGTTCGCTACAAGAACCTTCTCGAGGACAACGAGTCTCAGCCTCTCACCGAAACCCTTTATCCCAAGGAGCTTCGTCCATTGCCACCTCATGTCCACGCTTCTCAGTTTGCGCTCTATCAGAAAGTCGATGCTTTCGACAACGATGGTTGGTGGGTTGGTTCGATCACTGGCAGATCTGGTTCTCACTACTACGTGTACTTTTCTACCACAAACGAAGAGATAGCGTACCCTTCTTCTCATATCAGGGTTCATCATGAATGGGTTAACGGGAATTGGGTTTTTTTGAATTAATTTCGCTGTTTTTGTGTGTTCTTGTTCCTTCAGGATCAATGCTGTAATGGGTTTTTTTTTCTTTCTTTTCATTCATCTGTGGGTTTGGAAATTCCACATAGGTTTATGGGTCTGTAACTAATTTTGAGTAGTCCTTGTTATATGTAAATCCACAATGCAATAAATATCCTTTCATTCAAGAACAATAAATACAGCAAAGGCATTTTTCTTTGATTGTGGGTTGATTTATGGGTCTGTAATTAATTTTGAGTAGTCCTTGTTAACGGGAATTCGATTTTTGTTGTTGTTGCTATTTTGTTGTTTTTATTTCCCTTTTCTTTGATTGTGTTTCATAAAATAAATAAAGCAAAGGCATTTTTCTTTTTTCTTTTATAAAGGATATCTTTAGAAGCAATTTTCAGGGTTGTAAAAATAAAAAACATTTTATATTTAAGCAATTACACATTTGGTAAGAAGATTAGTTTGAATCATGATCTTTAGGAAAGCACAATGATAAAGGAGCCTGTTTGGTTTGTCGCTGCGTTGAATAGAATTCTGTTTGAGGGCGAAGATTGATTGCAACAATTTTGAACATGTTTGGTTGCACAAAATACTGGAAGAAAAACCGACTGTTAAGGGTTAGAATTGATTTTGAGTGAAATAATTTTTTTCCAAGAGTGAGACTCACATATTATATTTGTAATTCTACTTTATCAGTTATACAAAATTAATTTTTTAAAATATCATTCTAAAAACATAAATTTATTTTTAACATCAATCCTTTTTTCACGTTATTTTTTTAATTCCAATTTTATCAAAATCTAAATTGAAATTTTAACATGATCATGTCATGTGAGAGGATCTTAACCATTAATAATTAAATCAACAATGATAATTGTGTAACTTTATATCTTTATATTTTTTCTTTCTCATTCTTTATCACCATTCATTCAATAATATATGATTATGATTATTACACATGACATGATCATGTAATTAGGACATGAAGAAAATTCCAAATTTTTAAATGAAAATTGTATGTACAACTGCTGTACACAAAGTTCTCTCGACCCAATCATAAAGGCGCCTGCAAGAACCCGCACCGTTAATTAAAGTATTTAATTAATTAATTACGCGAAATTAGGAAATGATTCCATAATTGACTCTAATAATTATTATGAGGCTTTAATAATTATAGTAAGCGAGTAATAATGATGAAAGTCGCTTTTCGGAAGAAAAGTGCAGATACCGGTTCTGCTAGTCGGTATAAATGCGTGCCCAAAAAGTATCCCGGTAAATTAATGTAAGTGCATGATAATTACTAGAATAATATGTAGGACTTTTAAAACGAGTTTCAAGTCCAAATAATGAGAACTGGTGCTAGGAACCGGTAATGACTTGGAAAAGCGCGTACCGGAAAGTTGCTCAGAAAAATATAAGAAAAATATGATAAATCTTAAAAAATTATGTAGTTTCATAATCCAAAGTTTGGGATTAAAATGCTAAGCGTAGAAATTAAAGTTAATACTGCGTGCTTAAGTGAGTTTTGGCTATAAATACTCCCATTTTGGGCACAAAACCCTAGACTCTTTCATTTCTTGCGTGAGTGAGCTGATCAGCTTTGGAGGGAGCACTGTTCCATTGCTTTCTTCTCTTGTTCTTGACCAAAACTCAACCTTGAACCCATTTTCTTGGTTGTTTCATCATCCTAAACACTTGGTGTGAGTGAGAGACATCATTGTGGGTGGGTGAGGGTGTTCTTCAGTGGTACTGCAGCTGCTGTTGGTGAGAGTTTTGGGGCTGACTTAGTTGGCTTGTTGGTGGAAGCTTGAGTTGGGCATTTTGTTGCTTAAAGAAGCAACCTTTTGGTAGAAAGGTCAAGTCTTGGTGTAGCATTTTCGTACACCATATTTCTAGTAGATTAGTATTGACACACATGGCATGATTATCTGCTGCATTGCATTGTTTTAGAAATGATAAATGATAAACTGCTTTTGAACTTATATTGCACATGTAAGTGAGCTTGGGGTGGAAGATCCTTGAGGACTCACTGACTTACTGAGATTTCTAGATTAGAGATCTTACCCCACGTTTGGGGAATGCTTATTACAGGATCAGGTAGTATGGGTACTGATGCCTCAAGCGGCGGGAGGGCGGAGCTTAGCTGATTATGTTGTTTCTGCTTATATGTTAGCATGACTAGATTTGGATGCTGTTTATGTTTTCCGCTATTTATGATATGTGTTGTTGAGACTGATGTTGGGCATGTTGCCTTATTTGATTGAGCATAGGGATTGTCCATGACACTTTCTGTTAGTACTTGTAGTTTGGAGATGTATAAACTGTTAGATGGTCCGGTCTACATTGTTGTAGTTCCGTGACTAGAGCCACAATTATATTATCTATGTTATGAGGTATTTCAGTTAACTGTTTTATTGCAATTACATACAGGCGATGTTTTATTAATTGATTATTAAGCAAGCTGGTAATGTTAATGGCATCATAATTGAAAAGAAAAAGTAATTCCGCGTTTTTAATTAAGCGCAGCTTAATACGATATTATGATAACATTGCCGGATATATACGGGGTGTTACATTTATGGTATCAGAGCAATGGTTCGAGGGAAAAGCCTGTATGTATTGCAATTGCTAGGTTGCTTGGTTGTGTCTGTCTTTGTGTTTACTCCGTCGAATTTTATTATGATGCTGTATATGTGATCACATTGCGTGGGCCTGATCAACTCATAATTTGTGTAACTTTTGCAGAGTCATGGTAAGGTCCGGGAGAACACGAGAGACTTCCGAGGATCAATCTGATCCTATCCTGACTGCATTGGCTGAGATGCAGGCGGCTAGGTTAGCCGATCAGGAGGCCGCTAGAGTGGCCAACGCGGCAATGATGGAAGCTGTTCGCGAGGCGAATCGAATAGCCGCAGCTGAGGTTCGTGAAGCGAACCGGAGGACCACTGAGGAAGTCCTCGAGGCGAACAGGATGGCGAACATGACGATGATGAGAGTCATGTTGGAGGAGATGAGGGCTGGTCCTGCTGTAGGCCAGGCTCGACCACCGCCACCATCGCCACCGCCTCCACCTAGTGTTCAGGAGGAGAGCCATAGTCACATCGGCAGTGCTACTCATGCCACTGAGACGGGGGAGCCCCTTGTGGGGATTGCTGAGGATCGTGATGTGATCGATCGCCGGCTGAATGCTTTCAGGAAGTATAAGCCACCTGTGTTTGAGGGGTCTTTGGATCCTATTGCTGCTGCGAGATGGCTAGAGTCGCTGGACAAGATTTTTCGGGTCATGCAGTGTACAGACCCACAGAAGCTGATGTTCTCGACTTACATGCTGGAGGGCGATGCCCATGAGTGGTGGACGCACACCTCTCGTGCTTTTGAGAGGCAGGGCCGTGTCATGACGTGGCCATTCTTTGAGGAGTGCTTTCTGGGCCGATACTTTCCCTATGATGCACAGGAGAGGAAGCAGGGAGAGTTTGATCGTTTGGTACAGGGCTCGATGTCTGTTGATGAGTACCTGGCTAAGTTTAATGAGCTAGTGAAGTTTGCACACTTCCGGATGGTTCCTCCTACTCCGTTGTTTCTGGCAGCTAAGTTCCGCAGGGGACTTAGTGAGGTGATTGCTGAGCATCTTGCTGGTGCTGCTTCGAGGGACTTTGGTACACTGGTTCAGCAGGGTAAGGACATCGAGGATGTTTGCGTGGCAAGCAAGGCCAAGAGGGCCAAGGTTGAGGAGAGCAAGGGAACATGTGGTTCCATTCCTGCTTCTACTTCTTGGAAGGACAGGAGGTTTTCTGATAAGGGCAAGGGAAAGCAGTTAGCGACTAGGCAGGCGCCTGGTCAGTTCAAGAGAGCTGTTTCACATCAGGGGAGTTCTGCTAGGCCTCCTACCACTCCGATATGTTCGGGATGTGGGAAGGAGCATGTGGGACACTGTGCTACGGGGCAGTTGTTGTGCTTCAAGTGTGGCAAGGAGGGCCACTTCTCTAAAGATTGTCCGTCGTCGACGGCGAGAGCTGCAGCTGTTCAGGCAGTTCCTTTGCAGATGGTTCCGATGGCATCTTCTTCGGCACCTGCAGTGCCACCTTCTGTTGGGAGAGTGTATACACTGGATAGGCAGCAGTCGGACCGCGCTCCGAACCTTGTCAGAGGTACTGTGTCTATTGGTGATTCTTTTGTGGATGCTATCTTTGATTCCGGGGCTACTCATTCGTTTGTTGCTACCCCGATTGCCTTGGGGCTTGAGTTGTCCAGTGCTGTGCTTTCTCCACCGTTGCGGGTGACTACCGCCACCGGAGAGATTTGTGATTCTACCACTGTACATCGCGATGTAGCGTTTCAGTGGGATGGCCGTGAGTTCTCGGTAGATCTGATAGGATTGCCGATGGCCAACCTTGAGATTATTCTGGGCATGGATTGGTTGTCTAGAAACTGTGCTTTGATTGATTGTTGTGCAAAACGAGTGGTGATGTCTCCGTGTGATTCCACAGCTAGTTCCTCGCCATACATTTCACTGCTGCAGGCCAGGAGAGCGCTGCGAGCAGGGGCATTGGGTTATGTCATGTTGGGTGGTTTGGTGAGTGGGACACAGGAGGATATCACTGGCATTCCTGTGGTGGGGGAGTTCCTTGAGGTGTTTCCTGAGGAGATTCCTGAGTTTCCGCCACAGCGGGAGATAGAGTTCTCCATTGACTTGTTGCCCTGTATGGGGCCGATTTCTTTAGCTCCTTATCGGATGTCGCCACCGGAGTTGGCTGAGCTGAAGAAGCATATTGAGGATCTTTCGGCGAAAGATTTCATTAGACCGAGTGTGTCTCCTTGGGGAGCACCGGTCATCTTCGTGAAGAAGAAGGACGGGACAATGCGATTGTGCACCGACTACAGGCAGTTGAACAAGGTGACAATCAAGAACAAGTATCCTCTTCCTCGGATTGATAATCTGTTGGATCAGCTCAGGGGTGCTTGTGTGTATTCCAAGATTGATCTTCGGTCCGGATACCATC